ATCTTAGTAATAGCTCAGCAAGCAATCTAACTTTCAAACAGACACTTCCTAACTGTATCCTATTCGCAACCTACTTTGTCATACAGAACACTTAACTCTTTCATCCATTCCTTCATTCACATTTCCAGTATATTTTACTAAGCATCTACTTTGCCCCAGTCATTCTTCTAGGTACTGGGGACATAGCAGTGAACAAAACAGGCAGAGTTCCTGCCCTCATGGAGCTGGCATTCTAGACGAAGGAGCTGGACAATAAACAGTGCATCAGGTGGATAGCTGGATGAGGAGACTCACGTATACCCAAGCGCTTATTTGACATCTCCAATTGAATGGCTAACAGACACACTGTATCTAAAACTAAGCTACTCATATCTCTCTACTTGGGCTACCCTAATATTCCTCCACTCATGTATTAGTCAGGGTTTTTCTCTGGAGAACGCCAAAGCAATAGGACATATTAGATAGATAGATGACAGCTAGCTACCTAGATGGATAGACAGATAGAAGAGGAAATTTATTATGGGAATTGGCTCACGTGATTATGGAGTCTGAAATATGCATGATCTGCCATCTACAAGCTGGAGAACCAGAAAAGCCTGTAATGTAATTCAGTCCAAGTCCAAAGGCCTAGAAAAAAAAACGGGAGCGGATGGTATAACTCTGTCTGAGGCCCAAAGCCTAGGAACCATGGGGCAGCCTACTGGTCGAAGTCCCAGAGTCCAAAGGCCCAGGAGCCAGGAGCACAAAGTCCTAGGGCAGGAGAAGATGGATATCCCGTGTCAAGAAAAGACAGAGAACTCACCCTTCCTCTGACCTTTTGCTCTTTTGGGGCCCTCTACAGATGGAGGATGCCTGCCCACACTGGTGAGAGCAGATTTGCTTTACTCAACCTCCTGATTTCAATATTAATCTCTTCTGGAAATACCCTCACCAGCATACCCAGAAGTGATACCTTACTAGCTTTCTGGGTGTCTCTTGGCCCAGTCAAGTTGACATATAATGTTAACCATCACAGCTCTGTTAAAGACAGCCCCATCCTTTGAGCTGTCATGATGTATGTGTGTGTGTGTGTGTGTGTGTAGGCTTCTATCATGCCTACTTGTTTCCAGCCTTGTACACATTATACCATAATTGGATCTGGTCTCTCGACCCCCATAAATGGTCTAAAGATATTCACATTTCCAAGCTAATTTGACCAGCAACCCTGGGGAGTTTTCTCAGGAACAACTAAAGTAGGAAAGAACCCTTTCCCCTTGCAGCACACCTAGTAGGTTATGAGCCTGGGAGGTGCTGGCTACCATGCTTTGGGCATTATGAGGGACGTCAACCTAGAGTGTTACAAAGATGGAAGAGGGCACAGAAGTTCTTGGTGCCAGTTTTCCCTGATGCATACCCATGACTTCAGTAAGAAAACCAACATATTTACTTTTGTGCCTATGCTAATTGCATTTGGTTTTTGTTGCTTACAATATATACATTCTAAGAACATCTCATCTAAATTACCTTGGTTTGTTTCTTTTTACTGCTTAAATTCAGAGACCTCATATTTTACAGAGTTTTAGAGTGGATTGGAAAGTACAGACAATTCCCACATGACCTCTTTTCCCCTTTCCCTATAAAGAGTTCTCCCACATCACCTGGGTAGGCCAGTCAGTTAAGCGGTTAAGCATCTGTCTTTGGCTCAGGTTGCTCAGCCAAGGAGCCTGCTTCTCCCTCTGCCTACTGTTCCCCCTGCTTGTGCTCTCTCATGTGTGATATATCTCTCTCTCAAATAAATAAATAAAATCTTATAAAACAAAGAGTTCTCCCTATTACTTCCTTTTGTGTTAGCATGGTGTACTTGCTGAGGCAATATTCATACAATCTTATCAACTAAAGTGCATAGTTTACATTGGGGTTCACAATATAGTACATTGCATGGATTTTGATAAGTGTATAGTGACAGTTTGTCACCATGACAGGACCATTCAGAATCGTTTCACTGCCCTAAAAACCCCCTACGCTCTACCTTTTCTTCCCTCCTTCTTTCTCCTTCTTGATTTATCTTTTCACCCAGTACAAATATAGTGAATACCCTCCATTATTACACTGTGCGAGTTGTGCCGGGAATATGAAACCAAATGTATAAATAAATAAATGCACTGAAGTGCTTAGTGATGACTCAGTAGATGTCAGCACAGAGGCCTATAAAGGCACAAAGACAAAGTAGTCAAAATTCTTTAAACTCCAGCTGGTGACATTAGTGAAAAAACACCGTGTAAGTGTTCTTGCTTCTGTGATTCTTATCTTAATGCAAAAATACGTCATTGCCAGGAGAATGGCATAATAAAAAGCAACAGACTACTATCTGTACATTATGAGCTTTTTTAAGCCTGTAAATACATATTATTCTCTATTCAAAAATAAACTTAATATCAATGCATTTAAAATTATTAAGGTAATAAAACAAATTGGAGATTTGTATTGGAGACAGAACCAAGACAAATATGAATTTTTTGCTTGTCTATTATCTCTATCATTATTTTCAATATTACTAGTCCATAAATAGTATTAAACAATATATAGGTGTGGAGTGAAGAAAATGCACTACCAGTATTCCCAAGCCTCTCCAGGCCCGAAATTCTGAGATTATGATTCCTTCATTTGTAACATAATCTGGTACAGCACTCTATTGATTGATTTTTTTCCATACCTCAGACAAGCGAAGTTATGGTGGCACAAGTCCACCATATGCAGTTGTCTCTGAAATTCCAGTGGGGTCTTCATATTGAAAACTGCCCCATTTTTTAAAAAATAATCTTCTATTTGGAGAAGGCTCTGTCACACTTTTGCCTAAGTACTTACAAACTAGTGTCTATATTTGGTCAGGACCAATACTCTGACTTTTGTGTTTCCAAAACTGAAAGGAGAGGCTACAGTTCCTAGAATGAGGGAATAATCAAGAACCCAAAAATAACAGGGCGCCTGGGTGGCTCAGTTGGTTAAGTAGCTGCCTTTAGCTCAGGTCATGATCCTGGAGTCCCTGGATCGAGTCCCGAATTGGGCTCCCAGCTCCATGGGGAGTCTGCTTCTCCCTCTTGACCTTCTCCCCTCTCATGCTCTCTCTCACTGTCTCACTCTCAAATAAATAAATAAAATCTTTAAAAATAATAATAATAACATTGTAACTGCAAAGTGGGGCTTTGCTCCTGAAGCAAACTAGCATGGATCACTTTTGCTTTGATGAAGGCAGAAGTCCTAATACCTCACGGTTTCCCAAGCTTTAACAACAGTATTATTCAGTTGATGTCCTTGTTTCTTCCTGGGAGGTAACAATTTAGGAATGGCATTGCTAAACCTAGATATAATAAGATGAGTACTGGAATCTCCTGAGGAAATATAGAGTATTCCACAAATTTTTCCTTCCTGGCCTTAAACCACAGTCCTCTTTCCTAATTTATCTACGTGGAGCTGACCATCTTTTGTTTGAATTGGATTCTATGATGATAGCTTCAACTGCCTTTTAGAGTTGTGTGACAGATTTGTCCCAGATGGAAGACAGTAATGCGTGCCGCCCAGGCTGCCAAGTATCATATGATCAGTCAAATCACAGTCCCCAGCACCTACAGGACACAGCCCTGACTCACTCCACTTATGCACGTTTTCACAGAATAAAGCCATTTCTCTATGAACATGAGCTCTTCATTTTTCTCGAATTGTGACTATTGAGAGTAACTGTAATTAAATGCTTAGGGTTTTTAAATATCTTGAAATAAGAAAATCTAGTAAATGTGATCAGGTGAAGGGAACATATGGGCCCTTTTAGGCTTTTCAGGTGTACATTTGTGCCTAATGCAAACCTGATCTCTTTGATCCAGTCTTTTGTCTATGTTATGAAGCCTAATGGGGTCAGGCCTGGATCGCTTCTCTTCACTCCCAGGCAGGACCTTGTTGGGAGGGATGGATTTCTGCTGATCAGTTAAGGCCAAACAGGGCCAACAAGGAGGTGGGATGGGGGGAAGGGTGACTTCCCAAAGGAAAACCCACATGGCCTTAGAAAGGGGAAGGGAGAACAGCTGCACAACTTCCTCTCTTTTTTGAGGATACTGTCCATATATCCTGCCACTCCTGATTTCTGCTGCTTTTTCACATTTTTAGCTTAATTAATTCTTCAATTTTTAGTACTTTCTTTCAAAAGAATTTTTGCTTTTCAAATTATAAAATCATACACAAAATAGATCTATAATATATTTAAAGCTCTTTCAGAACAAAACAATAATTAATGATCCATGTATTCGGGGGGGAAATTTTTATACATGAGACTTTAAATATAACATAAGACATATATGCAAATATATTTACATAGATTGTTTACATTATATTTACATATATTATAATCACATGTTTGTATTTACATATATATCTTACATTTATTTATCTAGTCCTTTGGTACCACAAACAAGGCTCCACCGTACATCTTTGTATAAGACTTCATGGAGACTTGTGTGATTTCCCTGGGACAATTAAAAAAGAGTAGGATTGCTGCTGGGTCACTGGGATTTTGCACTGATACTGTCCTTATATACTGCCAGACTGTCCCCACCAGGTCTGGGTGGAGCTGTGATTACTTCAGGGCTCCGGGTGCCTTGCAGTTATACCACTGTACACAGGCACAGTCACATTGAGGGAGCATATATACCTTTAGACATATGTACAGATGCTGTTGGAGACCTGATCAGATCCTCCTGGATCCCTTGTACCATCTCTGTTCACCCATCCCTAGCTTCATGGTTTTTGCTACTATTTGTACCTGTCCTTGGACATCAGAGAAATTATAGCTTATAAGGAGCAGAGGAAGTGACCAGGAATCTTATGTCCACCTATGACCCCCCCCCACCATGACCTGTGGACAACGACTTGCTGGTGTGAGGGGACCAAGTCCAGCTCTCGTGTCTCAGGTGGGGCTAATACCCAGCACCCAGGAAATGGGGCTGAGTCTGTGACTTTACCTGAAAGCTCACCTCTCTTAGGTTCTTCCCTCTCCTCAGTCTGCTTCTTTTACTCCCTTACTGGTTTCTTCTTCTGGGGCTGGGTATTAGCAAACCACTTATGCTCAATTCTTGGCTTGAAGACTGCTTCTGGAGGAACCTGACCAAAGAGAGCACACTTTTTATTTCACGGCTGAATGTGATTGGCAAATTCCAACAATGAACATGTTAGATTCTTTAGCATACTGAATTGGGACTCATGTTTGAAACTACTCTTGATTTCTCTATCTGGGGCATCTTAGGATGTATGAGATCTCTTCACTAATCGGCAGTCCAAACTTCCTCACTCAACTTCGGTCCCATTGGCTGTCAAAGAGCATGTTTTCTGTTGGGTGCTCACACAGACCACTCTGGGAGCTCCACTGCAAACTCTAAGGTTTTCTGTGTGTCTGACATTACTTCTAATGGAATGCGACTGTCCTTACCCTTAGAAGAACATACCTCTCCCAAGTGTTGGCAAGATGAAAGCATCAATCATTTATGAAGCTGGAAATCAGTGAGAGAGGTAACCAGATTAGTCAGCTCTAGGTTGGGAAATGCAGGTAGCAAGCACAGACCACTCTTTTAGAGGGCTGGACGATGAGAGTCCCAGAGAACTAGGATGGTGACTTGACAAAACAGCAGGGTCAAAGGAAAGGCTTTTGTTTCTTTAAGAGAAAAACCACCTCAGCACTTTTAAGGTGGAAGAATTGAGGCCAGTGAAAAGGAGAGGTCATGGAGGGGTGAAAAAAAAGAAGGTAATTGATGGATCAAACACCCAGAGAAGATGAGAAGAGTCAAATATGGCAGCCTTTAGTAGAAGGAAAGATTTGAAACTAAAAAACTCTGTGTGTCAACTATATGAACATGAAAGAAAAAAAAAAGGAAGGGAGGGAGGAGAGAAGAGATGGGAGGGAGGGAAAAAGGAAGATTCTTCCTTACTGATTAATCAATAGCATCCATCTCTTCAGGCATGTGATCTCCTATTATCTTACGTTTAATGTATTTAGTCCTTTACTACCACAAACAAGGCTACGCTGTACATCTGCCAACCTATGAATGTCCTTTGTCTATGTTTTAGGCTTACAGACAAGAACAGAGCCTGTTTGTACTGCAGGTAGAAGAATGTCATTTTTAAACCAAACCTTACAAGAACAACCTGGAAAGATACCAAGTGCATGTGTATTAATGATCTCTCCACTTTGGTTTCCTAGCTAGAGGGACACAGATAAGACTGTTCATTCAAATGCTAATCTCCTCCAGATACATTCTCATAGACACACCCAGAAATAATGTTGGGGTTTTTGTTGTTATTGTTGTTGTTTTGTTTTTTTTCAGAAATAATGTTTTATCAGTGGAGCATCTCTTAGCCCAGGAAAGTGAAAATAAAATTGACACATAAAATTAATCATCACAGTTATACAATAAATACACAAGAAAAACCAAAATCATTTCATTACATGTTCATGTTTTCTTTCTTTTTTTTTACATGTTCATGTTTTCTTATAGAACCTATCAGGGCAAATAAATTTCCAATAAGCTGGAGCTACATACCAACTATGTAACTATGCCTAAAAGCCTTTATTTTATAAACATCTCCCAATCTCATAGCTGTTCCACATTAAAGAGTCTTCCTCACTGTTCCAAACCTATCAGTCAGGGTTGCTGGTGAAGAGTAAGCCTTGAAGCTGTTGTCCAGCATGCTTCTCTTCCCTTCCCTTCCTCTGTGTGTGTCCATAAAGAATCTATAAAATGGTAGACCGTTTTCCAACTCCTCCCCTTCCACTGAGTGCTCCATTCCAAATATATCTGGACTTAAAATCCATTTGGCAGAAGGGAGCCTAAGTTCCTTACTTCTTCCATGCTGATACCATTTCTCAGATGCTACATCATCTGCAGATACTCAGCAATTGCGTTACAAATTGCACAACTCCTTGGGCTTGGTAAGTGAGTACAGTCTTCCACTTTTGTCATCAGCCCAGCATCCAGAATCTCCTTCAATCAAAAAGTAGAAGGGTCATGGGAACTTAATATGCTACTGAACCATGACTTGGTTCAGGAAAAATAACGGTATAATTTCTGACCACGCTTGGGATCACACAGCATTCCACCAGGTTGCCCCAGTACTCCAGGGAACGTTATGTGGTTACGCATGAGTACTCTCATCTAGGAATTATGCTGTGTGACGTACAATCTTACAAGCTCTTGCCTCTGTCGATTATACGGTACACAACAAATAAAAGGTTGTTATTCCGATTTCAGCTTAAATGTCATCTCCTCAGAGAGACATTTCCTGGTGACACAATGTAAATTAGTCACCCAGTCACTCTACCATATTATTCTGTTTTAATTCTCTGCACAGCACATATCACTAAGTGATACTTTTTTAATTCACTTAAGTTTGTCTATTGTCTGCCTCCTCTGGTCTATCTTGTTTTTGTAATATCTCCAGTGCATGGGATAATTCTGGATGATACATAGTTAGCCCTCAATATGTATATGTTAAATTAATTACATCAAGGTGATATGAAAGAAAAAATGGCTAGAAGGATACCTTGAGGCTACTTTTAATATAGGATGGTCAAAGAAAGTCTTTTTGGGAGATGATTTTTGAGCCAAAACCTATATGACAATTAGATACACGTATGAGGCTTTGACTATTATATTGGCCTGCACATTTTTACTGTTGATATGAGACTGTTCTTGTGAAGAAAGGGCTTTACAACTATTGAAGAGTGACCCAAAAAAGTATGGGATTGGCTCAAAAGTTCAAAAGAACAGGTATAGGACTGGACCTATAGAGTGGGTTTAAAAGAAGTAATGACAAAAAATCATTTTCAAAGAGGTAATGAGAGAAATCACTGCTTCCCCAAACATTTTCCTTTTCAGTAATCCAGAATTATTTTTCCTAAAAGCTCCTTCCACCATTAAGGCTTAATCACCCAAGGGAAGGGAATGGCAGATACCACCTAAAACAAAAGTTCCCAGTGAAGATGATAAGATTCCACCAGATGAGGAAAAATACTGAGCAGTGGGAAAGCTTAATTAAGAAGGAACAATATGTACATCCCACCTAGGTTCCCTTGGGCTTCAGAACTCACACCCCATACCCCTAAGATTTAGCCAGTTGAAGAGTTGATTGTGGAAACAGAAATCAGGTAGAGAATAAAGACAAGTTTCAGACTGGTAAATTGTGCCCTGTGTAGAAGAGGCTTGTATTGCACACTGCAGTTTCTATTTGGAACACATGAGCAGACCATCTCACAGAGCGTTTGCTGACCTAAACCAGCATGGGTGTCTGCAGCTGCTGAGAAATAAGCACGAGTTGTTGGGGAGAATTGTATTAGCCATCCTCAAGCCTCCCATACTTTCCCATGCAACGTGAAAAAGATAGAGGTATTCCTAGACTTGCCCCTGGAACCAAGAGTCAAGAGCCAGAGAGTTTGCCATTGAGTTACTATAGAGAAAGGTGAGATGACACCAAAGTCCACAGGCTAGACAGAGTAAGGCATACAGCCAGTCAAGAGCAAGACTGGACATTTCAGCAGTGAATGCAGTAAGGATAAAAGTCACTCACTGAGTATGTATCTCAGTTGATGATCAACAGAAGAACAGAGAATGATATCACTCGGTCAAGGAACACTTTCCAAAACTAGGAGGATAAACAAGCTCCTCCTGGCACCTAGCTGCCATCTTTGGCATAAGGAAAAGGAAGGAAGACTCTTCAGAAGAGAAACAACTCTGGTGGGGCTTATCTTACGAATTTCAAATCGCTGAAACATATACGACCATAAAAATGAAACTATAAACTAGAATAGATGAAATTATCTTCTAATAATAAGCTTTAAATAATTATTTTCTGCAATCACCAGGAATTTAAGTAGCTCCAAAGGAACATGAAGCAGTTAAAGAAATACACATTTTAGATTGCTTCAATTTTGACCCTACTGTTGTGTATGGTTTAAGTATCCACTTCTATTGTTCTAGTTTGAGATGCTCAAGTATGCTCAGTTCAACTCACAAACCTCCACACTAGGTATCCAAGGATTGCTTTGGTCTTATAGTTGTCCTGGAGGCAAAGGTAAGGTACAAGTAAGAGAGTAGCTTCCTCTATTTGCTATAGAGCCAAGGAAAGGAAACTTAGGTGGGTACTCCTTCTACACCCACAGTACTGTTTGATTTATTGGCAGGATACTTGAAGGCAGTAATACAAAATTCCCAGTAAATACCTGGCCCATCAGATACAGTGTGACTTTGAACTTCTCTGGAAGTGACCCTTCTCTCCTAGCCCGTGTGTTCATCTCTACATTCCCATATACAGTACTGCTTCCATCCTCAACTCTCCGAGTTAAACCTATGTCCCCCTTCTCCTGTTGGCACTACCAAAAAAGTTATCTTTTCTCTTTTTCTAACACAGTAGCTATACAGAGTTAATAGGTAGAGCCAAGATTATCCATTAAACCAGGATCCCATAGCATTGGTTCCTTTTCCTCAAAAGCTGGAAGACCTTTCTCCAGAAATAAATTTCCATATCTCCCACCCATGGAAGGGAAGAGAGAGCTTTGTTTTCCACGCTGGAGAAGGTTGCCCAAACATTCACTACTACTTTCCTCCTATTCCCAAATAAGACAAATGACTTCTATAAATGCCAAAAAGAAAAGACAAACCCAAGATGAGTTTTGGGGACAAAAGAAATTGACTCAAGTAAAATGAGGTGGTTAACCAAAAAAGAAAAAATGTAGGATGCAATAAAACAGAGGCTCTAACAGAGGAGAGAGACAAATTCCTCAGAATAACAAAGAACAGCAGCAGGCCTAGAACAACAAGTGCAAATAGAAACAGGAGGACAGAAATCTCGAGAAAGAAGAGCTTGTCTGCAGGGGAATAGTGAGAAAGAATTAGCAAATATATAAAACTGTCCAAATTGTGACACTGCTCTAATGAGGTAATCAGGGAATGGAAAGAGTGTGTGTGTGTGTGTGTGTGTGTGTGTGTGTGTGAGAGAGAGAGAGAGAGAGAGAGAGAGAGAGAAGAGAGAGAGAGATTGAGGTAAGACTTCATTCACCCTGAAAAGAAGCCAAAAGTAATATGTAAAATTGTTAAATCCAGGGAAATGACAGT